TTTTTAATTACTCATAAGCCACTCTTTTTCCTTTGTCCAACAGCTTTCTTGCCGTGTGTCGGGTGACATGTTTAAATTTTGAACTCGTTTCTTAAACAGAAATTTAGCAGACTACAACAATAATTTATGTTTTCTAGCTAATTCCTAGATTCTGACCTCACGATTGGAAAATTCTAGGGGTCCCAAATTCGTTGATGAAATAAATACTGTGCATTAATTAATTTTTTGAATATCTTTGTTTCTTATAAGTCAAGGTAACCACCTCAAAGTATGTACTATTTGCATTAAAACCCCAATATAGATGTATATTTATATTTAGCCCCCGTTTGTTTCCTATTATTTGCCCATTAAAATGAAAAATATGATTGTTATCCATCACATCAAGCCACCATATTTGACATTCTATCTCTTGTGTGGGACCTGTAACGACTATATTTTTTATTCTTATTTTTACATTAATGTGTATCAAGCGAGGCTTAGTTACTATGAATTTAATCAATGTCTTTCTCAGTGATATCTCCAAAACATGAAGACGTTTGAAAAACATTAGTAATTCATTTAATTCTTCTTCTTCTTCTTTTTTTTTGAATGAATTCTAACACTAACACAATGATTAACACCTGTACAACAAACAAAAAAATAAAATTAATTGGTCAGCTAATAGATACATTCGAATTTGTTGGTCATGAGAAATGCCTTGTAATAATTCGAATCAAATTCAATTGAAAAGACGATAGTAGATTTCAAGTATCATGTTGACGTTCTCCTTAAAACAATATTGTCGTTCATCTAATGAGTGCACAAGGGAGGTCATATTTGCCTTACGGATACAATGGAATGCTTAGAAAGTATTTGTTGGCATACATGCACTTAATAATGACACAGCAAACATCAATGATGTTTTGAAAATATATAAGAGTGTTTGTAATCCGATTCTACGGTATTCATGACACAAAAGTATATTTTTGAAGAGAAAATATGAATGCAAAATTTTGCAAAGAATGTCATCTTCAAGTCACATGAGTTTTGGCTTTCATCGGTTATGGATTTTGTTCAATTAATTGTTTTTGTTTATGTCTAGTTTAATTATATTTTATTTTTCGTTGATTTTTTTGGATTTTTTATGGTGATGAATGTCATGATACTAAATCATGTACTATTTTTAATTGCATGATTAAATATTGAATTTCATTTTTTATTCTAATTTGATTATCACTTACATAGCAAAACTTATCCATATCGAGAGAATGTTATGAGCATTTGACTCATATTTCTTGTTTATATATCATGTCAAATTTTAATTTTGGTTGTAAATTTAATTTTAACAATACACGCGTTATCATATGAGCAAGACATACAAGAGAAGTAGCCCCCAGGGCACATCTTCAAGTGGTAAAAGGGGAGGGTGGAGAAATCCAGCTTTGTTTGAGGTTGCTGCGTCAAGGGTTCAAATCCTAAAATATGGATTTGGCTCTTGGGTAAATGCAAGTGTACAAGCAGCCTTCCATCCTGTACCCTTGGAGGCATAACCTGCGATTTACCTCCCTCACAATGCTCTAGGGTAGGAGCGGTGGGGGACCCTTACAGTTGGGGTTCAACCCACCAAGACATACAAGAGAAGTAACGAAAGAAAATTCTTAGTACGTCATGGCAAATAACTCTCTCTCTCTCTCTCTCTCTCACGTACACAAGTAGAGACATTCCTAAATCTTGTTAGAATCTCAGCCTTGTCTGATACATACAACCGAGGAAAAAAAAAAAAAAAAAAAAAAAAAAAAAAAGGTGAATGTCTTCAACTTCCCCCTTCGGTGACGGGTGACGTCCTTGAATTGGAGTAAAGCCAAATAGAAATGAAATAAACGCTTGCTTTGTCATTGAACTTTGAACGCCGAACCCCGTTTTGACTTTCTTTAACTCGTTCCATTATTTCACATTTATTTTATCATTTTTCTTTTCCCTCTATCTGTTAAGGGGCCTCTCCCATTCAATTTGGTTAAGGATAGAATAATCTAAGTAATTCTGCCATACCCTTTAATATTATTCACATTTGACATTTGAAATTTGATCCACAACCTAATAAATATATCACCCTTAGTGATTGATAATCGGGGAAGCAAGAAAAGAGCATTGAGTGCATGAACACAAATTCGATTTTCCAAAATGTTGATTGTAGATTGAAAAATTTGTAGAACTCTAATTGCGAGTGAATTTTATGAACAAAGAAAGAAACCCAAGAATAATTAAACTATAAAACAAATAGAATAAAGTGATAAATAAAATTAAAAACAAGAAAACCCAACATAATTGTGCTACTCTTCTTGTTCGTTCGTGCATCTCTCGTTTAGGGATAAATTGATTTAGTTTAGCCAAGCTCCTTCAGTCGTAGAATTAACATATATTTGATAACTCAAATTCTCAATACTTAATTGAGTCAACGAGTTTTCAGAATGTCTTATCATTTTTTGCCGCATCACTTTGCCTGTCTACTTGAAAAAATTGTACTAAACCTTCTCGTGTGAATAACGACAACAACTTGTTATTGCATTGAAATTTATTAATGGTTGATGCACTTTTTTGTAGGTTTAGTACAAGATCTGTCAAGTTTTCAAGTGTAATGACTTGTGCAATGCTGTACACATTATTATTGGACTTTGAGTTCCTACATTTAAAGGTCAATCTTGATTAGAAGAGTATGATCGTCCTTATATGTTGGATAGTGCTTTCATTTTTAATTGATAAATGGTTTTACCTTTATATGATCATATAAGATGGTGACTTGTTTGAACACATTTATTTAAAATTTCAACTCTTGTTTGACTTTTTGACAAATTGTATGGCTTGTTAAAACTTAATGAACTATGATTTCATCATATGTGATCCAATATCAACAATGCCAAACAATCTTACAAATGCCACAAATTAGATGTTGGAAGTTCTATATGAAATGTATAATCCATTGTTGGTTACCTTCTACATTGAAAGTCATATAGCTTGTTCTTTTTAATTAACTGAACCGTTGCTCATACTCGTAAATTTGACACACTTATTTGACAAATAATCGTGACCTTTAATTTAAGTCAATAATAAGAAGTAAAGATAATATAAACTTTGGAGGGGGCTCAACAAACCAACTAAAGGTACAAAAGATGATAACTTATATTGTCTCAAGATGGAGCGAACATTGTAAAAGCTCAATACTATGAGAGAACATTGTAAAAGCTCAAATACTATACTTCACATGACCTAATCACACTCATGATCATACACCAAGTATAGTATCTTTTTAGCTCCAGGTCAATTTTAGACTCGTTACTTGAATGATATAAAGGGAATTTTGTTATATATGCAAGCTTTTTATGGATTTCCCTATTTGGAAATCAATTAAAACATGGGAAACTCAAACACGGAATAATTACATACAAAAATGGTAATCTATCAGTTCTCTTTGAAGATTGTACCAATTGGAAAGCCAGAGCACAAATGATTGAGATTATTTATCTCAAACATATACGATTCATACGTCAGTTCTCTTCACTGGGAGAATCATAAACACTGAAAGTAACGTCATAAATATTGGTCACAACTCTTTTATGACATCTGTGGGTAATTTGTTTGGTCCCTTAATATATGTAGAGATTGAGTATGTGAAAAAGTGTTACGCCATCAATTGTTATGATAATTTTTCTAAACAGTTTTTCTAAACAGAACGTATTAATAGAAAGCGACAACATGGAAAATCATATCACGAAAATTTTTGAATATTTTTATATTATATGTAAGGTTAATATCGCGAGTATCTTAACAATAATTTATACTGGCACACAAACACTAATTTATTATCTTTTATAATATAATATAATTAATATTTTTCCGCGATATGATATTAATTTTTAAATAGTTTCTTAACCAAATCCCACCCCTAAGCTAGCACATTAGCAGTTTATGAAGAAATTAAATATACCATGTGTTGTACCTATCCATAAAGTTGATTAAAGTTGTGAGTGATATGAAATATAGTTGAAAATAAGTTTGAAAAATAAATTTTAAGAAATGAGGCCAAACAATGCTAAAAATAAAATCACGAAGAAGTAGCGAAGATTCTTTAGAGAATTTTAAACATATATTTCAAAATAATAATAATAATAATAATAATAATAATAATAATAATAATAATAATAATAATAATAATAATCTGGTTTTGTGAACCTTAAAAGTAAAGAAAAATAAAGTAATGTCATATTCTCAACGATTCTCTCAAATCCATGCAATAGAATCACAAGCTCCTTTTCACGAAATTCAAAATATTTGCAATTGATCACAACACTTGTAATGTCAAACATTTTTATTTAGTTGTGCTTGATCTCAATACTTGAAGGAGGAGTTTAAGTTATTGCTCACTATGATTGTGGAGTCCAATAGTTAGTCTATTGATACATTTCAATGTGTTACACGTTATAGTTCGATTGTTCATATTATCATTTTAATAACAAACTCACCTAAAAAATGCAGAGAAATCTTTTTAATTTGGCTATTAGTGCAAAGAAACAAACAAAAAGAGTTGGAAAAAAAATCCTCTAAATCATGGAAAGATTGAGAGAGAAAGAGAAAAAGGTTTAGGATTTTCAGCTCTTTACACAAGTTAAAGCTTGAAGTAAAACTTTGTATAGACAATCAAAATTCCATTCTTTTTGTCTTATACATTTACAGATAAATGCCCATGTACATGCTTAAAATTCTGTGTGCTAGCTTCCAATTGTTATTGTAGCGAAAACACGAGTTTTGTACACTAAACTCACGAGATGAAGGATGATAAATAAAAAGGCAGGTGGCTTATCTCATGTTTGCTTCACGCAAGCAGCTAATGGGATTTGCTTCATCGCGTGGCTTCTAAGTCTTCATTTTGTGTTTAAAAACCCTTCACAATAACAACAAATACCACCAAACCCTAAAATAAGACTCTCCTCTCCTCTCTCTCTCTCTCTTTCTTTCCCTTTCTCTCTTTATATTTATGACTCTCTCAAGTTCTCCTTCAAGAATTCCTCATGAAAAACCCTAATTAATTGTGTGATGTACAGTAGTATATAGGGATTTAATTTCAAGGAAAAAATGAGTTCGAAAGTCTCTTGCGATGGCACTAGTGTTGAAGCAGGGGGTTGCGGTGGTGCAGGAAGCAGCGGCGGTGGCGGAGGTGGCGGTGGTAGTAATGGACCATGTGGAGCATGCAAGTTCTTGAGAAGAAAGTGTGTGCCGGGGTGCATTTTTGCACCCTACTTTGATCAAGATCAAGGTGCAGCTTATTTTGCAGCCGTGCACAAGGTGTTTGGAGCCAGTAATGTGTCGAAGCTCCTCCTCCACATTCCGTTGCACAAACGGCTCGATGCGGTGGTGACCATTTGTTATGAGGCTCAGTCCCGCCTTAGAGACCCCGTCTATGGCTGTGTTTCCCACATTTTTGCCCTTCAACAACAGGTAATTGATTGAAATTTGCATTTATTTTAATCTAATTTTCATCTTTTTGAGACTATTAATAAAAGGTGTCACACATAGTGTTTGTCCTTTGAATGAATAGCTTACTCCAATGATCACATTCTCAATGATCTGTCTCATCAGAGTTGGTGAACTAAAGACTGTACAAGCTAGTTCATCCGTTACAAACTTCTAATGCTTCCCTTTATCTTTTCCAGCGGAATTAATTTCTTAAAACTTGTGACCTGGTGAAATTTTAATTTGTCATTTCAATTTCCTTATCTCATCGCCTTTAATTGAGATTTCCTTCTTAATTTCTTGCAAAATTTTAATGAGTTCATTTTTGTGGGATTTGAAGCCTAGTGTGGCCCCTTAAATCGAAACAGCCCTATATCTTGGTGCAAGAACTATTTGGGACTCGTTTCAAATTCCTAGTAGCTAGTTCGAATTTCGAGCTTTTGGTTCAAAGGGTTGCACTCAGTAGTAGAAATTGTTCTAATGCTACAAGAAAATTTCCTTTAAATATATCTCGAGATTGAAAAATGACTTTTTCACTACAATTTTTTTTGTTAAAAGTGAACCTTTTTGTTGTGTTTATATGAAATTTATCATTTTGTGTAACTTGTATAGTGTAATTCAGTGATCGAAGGAAGTGGAATGTGGATCTGTTTGGTTTTCCAATTAAACGAATATATTTCTTATATTTAAAAATATTAGAGAAGAAGAAAAAAAAGAAAAGTGCAGAGGTGCATCGGGGGGAACAGTTCCATGGTTTGCTGAAATCAAGAAACCTGATTCTGACTGATTTACTCATGATGTGGTCAGTGTCTGTTGCAATACATACACTACTGTAGTGCCTCCGCAAGTACTATGATTTTTTCCTGTTATTAAGGAAGGAAATGGTCAGAGATTTCTATGTAAATAATGTTTCCACCATTCACCAAATTTCTAATCCTAAATTTTATTTTCATGTTTTGAACCCATTATTTAAGGGTCCTGTGTATACATGTCTCTTACAGCATCTTGTACACTTTATTCAAAGACACAACATTGCACAGTTTCCTTAAGATATGTGTTTTTTTGTGGCTGATGCTTTTAAATCAGTGCATATGTCTCCTGGTTTTGTTGCTTTTAGAGGTGGTTGTGGGGTAGAGTTGGGGGTTAGCAGCAAAATTAATTTTCTTTGAAACAAAAAAGGGAGTGAGTTTTTAAATTATTTTCCTTAAACTTTTTAAATTTCTTTTGGGCATTTTTTGGCATTGAAGGTGATGAATCTGCAGTCCGATCTTTCCTACTTACAAGGCCATCTTGCGGGGCTGCAAATTCCAACTCCACCACCTCCTCCTCCTCCACCGGTGCAGCCACTAGTAATGCCACCGGTACTATCGATTTCGGACTTGCCGACATCCGCCATAGTGCCACCAACATATGACTTATCCTCACTGTTTGACCCAGTTGGGCAAACTCAATGGATGTTGCAGCTCCCTCATCAGCAAACAGATCCATGTCAGTATGGTGGCGGAGCCACAAGAGCGCCACCGGAGATGTCACCTTCAGGCTCCGGGGCAGGTGGTGGTGATGATCTTCAAGAACTGGCTCGTGAACTTCTGCAACAACATGCAAATCCAACAGTCCCATGCACACGAGCCCCCCCTTTGCCACCCGACTCCAAGTGAAACTAACTGATCACCTGTTCAACTAGCAGTACTTGATAAGGAAATTAGCTCCCAATAATTTTGGTCCGTTTGATATTTCTATGTTCAAATAATCTTCTTGTTATTTTATTTTATTTTTTGTTTGTACTCTTTTTGCTATTGCAATGAAATTTACAATTAATTCGTATATAAACAACGGTAGTTATCAATGTCGCGTTGTCTTTTTACGTTAGATGCCTAAATTAATATAACCGTTTGTTATCCAACATTAATAACATTATGTGACGTCTAAAACACATCACGTAAAGTCTTAATTTGTTAATTATGCTAAAGTAATATCCTGGAGAAATTTTATATTTATAATTTATAAGAATTTTGGGATGAATAATTGATGCAGGAGGATCCGAATCGAGTGATGCTGATTTGTCAAATAGCACGATGATGGCGCTAAGATACCATGAGATGGCGGATCGGCGCAAAGATGGAAAGTGAATCACCATTATTTCCTTAATTGGGAGAATTTGACGCGTCTTTGGTAATTTGGCCATAACTTTGGCTACGGTTATCAGAATCGCTATTATGACCCCAATTCGGAAATCTCTCTTCGGCGCGCACGTCGTGGCCACCCAGCTTGGATGTCAATTTCGAGCCCAAAATCCACTATTTTCCTTTTCAAAATTCAATTTTAAGTTATTTTTTTACTATTTATGGTAATATTTCGTTTTTTTTTCATATGTTAGAAAACTCGAATTGAGCCAAATTTTTGGCAACTTACTTCTTTTACTTAATATTTTATTCTGGTATAATTTTGGGATTTTGCCATTTCTGGTAATTTTCCCATAATTTCGTATTTCGCAGCTATTTAACCCGGCTTGTGGGTTAGTTTTCATCATTCTGCATTATTAATAATATTGAGTTGAATTCAGAGTATTTTCTCTGATTTTTTTGGGCGTTTTCTGTCGTTCTTTTCTTGCGAATCATCTGCTACAACAAGCCAATAGGATAATCATTATCCTACCCGGCGTCAGTTGGTATCAGAGCGTCAGCATCTTCTTGGGAGATAAATTTCATCTGTTATAATGGTTGGTGGACGTGGTCGTGGTCGTCGAGGACAGGTTCCGATTGAGGAAGTCCAACACCGTGATCGTAATATTCAGGATGTGACGATTGAAGATTTGCAGAGACAAGTTGCGGAGTTAACCCAACATTTGGCGGAGCAGGAGTTCGGTAATCATGATGTAGAATGTCACGATTCCGATACCAGTTTCGAAAACCCGTATCACCATCGTGCTCAAGTCTGGGATCATCGTGGACGGGAGGATCGTCATGTGGATCTCGGTTTCAGAGTGGATCTACCCAAGTTTTCTGGTACGTTGCAGGCTGAAAGATTTATTGATTGGTTGAATGAAGTGGAGCGAATTTTTGAATATAAGGAGGTTCCAGATCGTGTCAAAGTGAAACTGGTCGCCATCAAACTCAAAGGTAGGGCATCTGCATGGTGGGAACAGTTGAAGCGTTCACGGGAGCGACAGGAAAAATCCAAAATTACTAACTGGGAGAAGATGAAGAAGAAGATGAAAGGGCACTTCCTCTCTTTCGGCTATACTCAAACCTTGTTTCAGAGGCTTCATTCACTAAGGCAAGGCGCAAGATCAGTCAATGATTATACTGAAAAATTCTATTAGTTGGTGGCTCGAAATGATTTATCTGAGACGGAGGAGCAGATGGTAGCACGGTATTTGGGGGGATTAAGGCAGCCCCTGCAGGATGTTCTCAGCCTTCATTCATTGTGGACAGTTTCTGAGGCATATCAGCGAGCACTTGCAGTAGAGAAACAGCAAAGTAGGAGGCCAGTGGTCAGAGATGAAGGAAGTCAGCCAGTTCGCCCTTAAGAATCTTGTCCTGCTTATCAGCCACAGCGGGATAGTTCCAACTCAAGTATTAAGTGCTTTAGGTATGGTGAACAGGGGCATAGGGCGACTGATTGCAGGAAGCCTGCTGGTGAGAAGAATAAAAATCTTCTGATTGAGGAGGATATAATAGAGGAGTTTGAGGAAGTTGGGGAACCCGTGTATGCTGAGGGTGAAGATGAGGACGTGCTATATGGAGATGGTCAGGAGACCCTGGTCGTTCGAAAGAGCCTGCTGACTCCCAAGGGTGACTCAGGGGATGATTGGTTGAGGACCAACGTTTTCCACACATCCTGCACAGTTGCTGATAAAGTCTATAAGCTGGTAATTGATAGTGGCAGTTGTGAGAATGTAGTGTCTGAGGAGGCTATCGAGAAACTGCAACTGAAGATGGATCGTCATCCCAAACCATACAAGTTGTCTTGGCTGAATAAAGGCAGTGAGGTAACGGTAGAAAAACGATGCTTAGTGTCTTTCTCGATTGGAAAAAAATATTTTGATAATGCTTGGTGTGATGTGGTATCAATGGACGCGTGTCATGTTTTGTTGGGACGACCTTGGCAGTATGATCGCAGTGTTATCCATGATGGGCGGAAGAATACTTATTCTCTTAGCATCAAAGGGAAGAGAATTGTTTTGGTGCCTCGCAGGGAAGGAAACATCCATGCCCTGGTAGTTAAAAACCCCAATCTACTTTCGATGTCCAGATTCTTGGTTGAGGTTGGGCATGAAAAAATAGTTTATACTTTAATGCCTCGTGAAAATAGTACAGCGAATGTGGATTCAGAATTTCCAGCAGAAGTACAGCAACTACTGATGGAGTTTTCTGACTTGATGCCGGAGGATCTTCCTCCAAGACTACCACCTATGAGGGACATTTAACATCAGATCGACCTCATTCCGGGGTCGAGTCTACCAAACCGACCAGCATATCGCCTCAGTCCCAAGAAAGCTGAAGAGTTGTAGTGACGGGTGGTAGAATTATTGAAAAGGGGCTACATTCGTGAGAGTATGAGTCCTTGTGCAGTTCCTGCTCTCCTAGTGCCGAAGAAAGATGGGTCATGGCGTATGTGTGTTGACAGCAGGGCAATTAACAGGATTACAGTGAAGTACAGGTTTCCAATTCCCCATATGGACGACATGTTGGATCAATTGTCTGATTCTAAGGTCTTCTCAAAAATTGACCTTAAAAGTGGATACCACCAGATCAGAATCAGACCTGGAGATGAGTGGAAGACCGCGTTCAAGACACAGCATGGGTTGTACGAGTGAATGGTCATGCCCTTTGGACTATCCAATGCACCCAGCACTTTTATGAGGTTTATGCATCAGGTTTTACGGCCTTTTATGGAAAAGTTTGTGGTAGTTTATTTTGATGACATACTTATTTATAGTCTGACATGGGAGTCACATTTTAATCATCTTCGTGCTGTCTTTGATGTAATGAGGACAGAGCGCTTATTCATCAATCAGAATAAGTGTTCTTTCTTCACAACATCTGTAACTTTTTTGGGTTTTATTGTGTCTACTGATGGTGTTCATGCAGATCAATCCAAAATTGAGGCAGTTTTGAATTGGCCGAAACCAAAAACTTTGCACGATGTCAGGAGTTTCCATGGATTAGCATCCTTCTATCGTCGATTCATCAGAAACTTTAGTACCTTGATTGCTCCTATCACAGAGTGCCTTAAAGGGCGTGATTTTCAGTGGACTGAGGAGGCAGCGGCTAGCTTTCAGTTGGTTAAGCAGAAGATGATGGAGGCCCCAGTCTTGGCACTTCCGAATTTTGAAAAGGTGTTCGAGGTAAACTGTGATGCGTCTGGAGTTGGCATTGGTGGTGTTCTGAGTCAGGAGGGACGTCCAGTAGCCTTTTTTAGTGAGAAGCTATCGGGATCAAAGAAAAATTATTCCACTTATGACCTGGAGTTCTATGCCATAGTTCAGACTCTGAAGCATTGGCGCCATTACCTGGTACAGAGGGAGTTCATCCTTGTTATTGATCATGAGGCTTTGAAGTACATCAATGGTCAGCACAAGCTGAGTAGGCGACATGCAAAGTGGGTGGCGTACTTGCAGGAGTTTACTTTCACACTCAGGCATTAAGCAGGAAATTTGAATCAGATGCATTGAGTCGTCGGACATTACTCCTCACCACCATGAGCACAAAGATTGTCGGATTTGAGGCATTTCCCAATATGTATGCTGCGGATCCTTCATTTGGGAAGATAATTCAGGAGGTAACTGATAATCACCGACATGATTTTATTTTACATAATGGTTACCTGTTTCGTAGATTGCAGTTATGCATTCCGGATTGTTCACTAA